TCTTTCACGATGTATACCTTGTCATATACAAATAAAATAAAGAAATGATGTTTACCTACTTAAAAAAAAAAATAAAAATAAAAAATAATATATAAAAAAATTTTTTTAAAAAAAAATTATTTTTTCAATTAAAACTTTTGTATTTTACAATTTTAATTAAAAGTTAATTTTTTAATTCTTAAAAAATACATTCTTGATAATTTAAACTATATATCAATTTATAGTGTTACTTAAATTTTTTAAAAAATTTTTTTATTTTATTTTTAATTATTATAATTTTAATTTGATATTGTTACAATTAGTTCTAGTAAATTTATTGTTAATTAAGAATTTATACTTGTATTATAATACTGTAATATAATTAAGCAAACTTTTTTTTTTATTTTAAGAAGTGTTATAATATAATTAATAATTTTTTTTATTAATAATAATACTTTTATTTTAAACTAGCATTGTATTTATTAAATTAAAAAATATAAATACAAGTTTATTATAATAATTATTGAATACAATTAATTCTTTTTTGTTTATTTTAAATTATTTTTAGCTATACTAGTATTATGTATTTTAATCTTTTAATATTATATTATACAAATTCATTGTAATAAAATAAATTTTAATATTTATTACTAATATACAATAAACATATTAAAGTATTATAATACTGTATATCAAGTTTATTTATTTTTTACAACAGTATTTATAATTATTTAATATTATTCAATTGTTATACTGGTTAAAAAAATTTTTTTTAAATATGGATTAAATGATTATTGTAGATAAACCAACATTTAATTCATTGCAAATACATGTAAAAAATATTATTTCTTTTTAAAAGTGTATCCTGTAATATATAATAAATGAAGAAATTGGGTTTAACTACTTTGAACAAAAATAATAATATATAAAAATATTTTTATAAGTGGATAAAACTTAGTTTGTTTGTATAATTTTGAATAAATTGTTTTTTTTTTAAAAAAAAATTAAATGATTTATCTCTAACTTTCATTGATAAAACATAAGTTATATACGATTTTAAAAATAATTTTAAAAATAGGTTTTTAGAACAACTTTTAATAAGTTATTAAAATACATGCATGATTCTTTGAATATATTAAAATTTTTTTAAAGTTCTTACATAATTCACGTTTTTTAAACATGCTTAAAATTTATAAAATGCATAAGCCAATAAATTGCATAATAATAATATTTAAATTAAATAACGCATATACTGAAGTTTAAAATATAAAATGCATAGGTTTTAAAATTTGTTTTATAAGAAAGAAAAAACCCGCCATATGTATCCGGGAGAATTATATTTGTCAAATTTTAATAAAATAAATATAACAAAAATAAATATATTATTTTATAAGCAAAGGAACTAAGATTATTAATTTTTAATTGCTATTTTTTTATTTAAAAGTCATTGTGTGTGGAGATTTTTTACTGTTGGGCATAATCACTTATTAATCATGACATATTATCAGAGGTCAGGGTTGACGCTACAGTCATGGCACAATTTTCGACCTCACAATAGGTAAGTGATTTTTTTTATGTGTTCGAAGTCATGTCATTTCTTTTATCAACTACTTTTTATATACTTTCTTTACATGGTACACAAAAAAGAAATAAAAGAAATAACGAAAATTACAAGGTTGAAGATCGATTATCCTTTTTGGCAACTTCTTAATGCGCGATCGTCGGGACTCCACTTTAAGCCACTAGCGTCGACCGCCTTTTCCCAGTAACAACATAATTATATTTTTTATAATATTAATATATATTATAAAAAAAATTTTTTTAAAAAAATAATCTATCTATTGTTCTTACAAGATTGTGGAGAAGGCGCTTCTTACTACTTTTTTACGTAGGAGCCTGCGTCGAACTTCTTTCATGCGATGTTGCATAAGATGCACCGTCATGACCATTACATGGTGTAGCCGAGATTATTAGTTATTGGTGAATTACCAATGACAATCCATCGTCGCAGAGTGGACAATAAGTCACTAACGTATCACTATCTTTATTACTAGGTCATTCGGAGGACTCAGATGTTAAAGGCGTAATTTCCTTAGCAAGGATGTTCTTTGATTGCTTTGACCAATCAGTAAAGTAAGAACCGAATTAAAATCTATTATCTGTAAATGCGCGTTACATTCGTCGTTTATACGCTATTTAGAATATGGCATGAACCAGTCCAGTTACAGTAGCATGTGCATCTGACAAATTTGACAATCAAAAACATTAATGCCATGATGATCTCGCCGCAAGCCAAACACGAGAAAAGGATATCACGAAATGTAAAAAATTTTTCTTATCCTTCCTCGTGTAAAGAATGATGTTAAGTATTTCCGAAGGAAAATTTTGTAACTTACAAACAAATAAATAATTTTTAATTAAAAAATTTTACGAACAAATAAATAATTAGTCATTTTATTAACACACGATTAAAAATATTTGTAAATTTTATCACAAACAAGTAAAATAATTTGTGATTTTTTACAAACAAATAAAGTATCTTATTATTTCTTTACAAACAAATAAATAAATAATTCGTAATTATTTACTAACAAAAATAGTTCCTATTTAGATAAACTTGCATTTGTTAATTTAAATTGTCAAATCATTGACAAAAGTGTTAGGGGTTGCGTGAGCACGGAGATCTACGTTCAACAAAGTAAATAAATAAATTAATTAAAAATTTTTTAATTTTTAATTTTTTTTTTTTGTGTAGTGTATTATATAAATTATATTATAAGAAAGAATTATTTATTAATGAAACAAACTTTTGCACGTAAGACACGCATGATCATTACTTTACGAGATATATTGACCAAAAGTCTGCGGGCATTTTATTAATGATTCTTGGTTGATTTAAAAAAATAAAATATTTTTTAATATTAATTTATAAAATATATAAGCCGATACTGTACATATAATATAATCTTATAAGACAGGGCTTTATTTATAAATCAAGTAAAAGTGTCTGCAGACTTATTATGGCCATCCTTTATATTCAAAATAAAATAACGAGACGTTATATAAATTGGACACATCAGTGATAAAAATAACTATAAAAAGGACACGAATTCTGTAAACTGACAACTCACCCAACACTTAAAGGATTTCTTGTTTAAACGTTTTTGTCTTCAAATCTCATTATTTATCAAATGGAATCCAATCAACGAAACGCTCAAGTTCTTTCACCAATTACAAATCTTCATTTAGCTTCCCAAGATTTTATCGCTCCAGCGGCGTCAACTGCCCAAACTTCCCAAGATTTTATCGCTCCAGCGGCGCCAACTGCCCAAACTTTCCAAGATGTTATCGCTCCAGCGGTGCCAACTGCCCAAACTTCCCAAGATGTTATCGCTCCAGCGGTGCCAACTGCCCAAACTTTCCAAGATGTTATCGCTCCAGCGGCGCCAACTGCCCAAACTTCCCAAGATGTTATCGCTCCAGCGGCGTCAATCACTCCAGCAGCGTCAACTGCCCAAACTTCCCAACAAGTTCTTTATCCAACGACGATTTCTCTTTTAACCCCTCAGCAAGTATCTGTTCCGGTAGCACCAGTATTAATTTCTTTAACTGACCAACAAATTACTCCATCGACGACTCCTTCGACACCCAGACAAAGTCTTGTTCCGGCAGCGATTTCCCAACAAGTTCCTGTTCCTGCAGCACCAGCAATAATTCCAACTTTAATTTACCAACCCCCTGCCCCTGCTCCAACAACAGTTATTCTGTCAAGTTTTCAACAAAATCATTTTGATTTAATTCAAGGAATCACAATTTCATTTAGTTCTACCCAAACATCGAATGCATCGGATTTTTTCAAGACCCTGTTGGAAGGAGATAATAATAATTGGTGAAAACTGAGTAGAATTATATTTTTAAGAATTAATATTACCTGTAATAATCATTTCTTTGCTAAACTATTTTTATTTAAAATTATAATACGTTCACGTATTTGTAAATCTTTTTCTTTTTTTTTAAGCATCTTTTTTTACTGGCATATCGTTTATATTGGCAACTGACAACACCCATTTTATTTTTATGTAACATATGAAATTTATGAAAACTATTTTAAGGGTTAAGCTAAGGACATTAACTGGAATCATTGTTTATTCTTATATGAAAAAATTTCTGAATATGTAATTTCGTTTTCATCAAATAAAGAAGAATCAAAAGTAACTTCGAACATAACTTTTAAAATTTTAAAATAATTAAGTAAAAAATCATCTGCAAATATGTGTGTGCTATCGAAAAGAATGAGATATATTGTTTCATTGCCTCGTAGTTTTTGGTTTTTATTCTTACTATTATTATAGGGCACAGACAAAAAAAAAAGCTTGCAAATAATAAATTCCACCTGCTTGAATAATGAACCCTAATTTGAAAAGGATCCTAGGCTATCGGTTCCCCCCTTATTAAATGTACTGTACACATGTACTACGTTTCAAAACTCGAAATATGACACCTGGCACGTGGATCAGCTTATTAAAGATTTAATCGCATTGTTTGAGGAAAGAAATACGCCAAGAAACGGATCGAGGACGGGATCGCATTAATAAACATGAATAATACAAAACACGTACCCCAAACTTTAAAAAATATGTATCATACAGTAGACAAGATAAAAATGAATAAAATAACATTGATTAAAAAAGAATCAAATACTGTATTGCGTGCATTATTGATAGCTTCTAGTATACTTATACATCGGATAAAATTTTATACTGTGCGGTCATACAAATAAATCCATCTACAAAAGTGGGCCGTGAAATTAGCATTGTCATTGGATCGTCTACAATGGAAATGAGAAATTCTATTTTTAATAATCCTTATTCTTTTTTGTTGTTATACTGTAGTTGATCAACGGATCAATGGAGTCTGGAAATGGGTAATTCTTTTTGAAAGCGGACAGGGATTTTTCTGACTTTATAATTGTACTCCTAGAATTTATATTGTGTATGTATTGTTTCCAAAAATAGGGATCAAAAAATCGTATACAACATTTTTGTCGTTTTCAAAAAGAATCTGCCAAATACTTAATCGGGATCAACTTATAATTGTCAATTTTTTTATTTGTTGTAATATTCTAATTTGCACAATGGCAATTCTCCCTCATACACGATGAAGTAGATTGTTTCCTTTCGAAGCTCACGTCTTATTGACTCCATTATTCGATGCTCTGTATTTTCACATTGATATTTATTTGATCACATATTAGAGGAATGCATCTCCAAAGACAAGAACTTATTCTTATATCATCATTTTTTCAAACAGCTAAATTCAAATAATTATGATTTTGGGGCATATATTTTTTGTTTGATACAACACACTATTGTATTGACCGTGGCAAGAAATTTAAACGAATAAAACAATAAAGGCATTTAAATTCCGTACAAATATTTCAGCAGGCATATTTTTTTAGCAACTTTTAAAGGTATTTTATTTACATTTAATTTCTTTCATCTCTATTTAATTTCTTTCTTTTTCTTGTATTTGCCAAAAATATGCCTAATATACCTAGTACTAGCAAAATTTCGATGAAGAACGAGTTTTCGGAGATAATAAGTATTGTTACGAATGCGTTTTTATTAAAATGACCTGTTTGTAAGTAGACTGGGTTTTTAGCCCTTGTGTAATCTAGATTCAGCGTATCGAATCTTGTGGATTAAAGTTTTCAAGGATAAGTAGCATATGAAGAACGGGCTGAGTCTCGAAAAACGAACCAATATGTGATATACAGCACGCATATTAGCGTACATTCCGCTTACTGGTAGGGCCCGTGCATTCATAAAATCCAGATTCAGAATTAGGGTAAAAAAATATGTCTGGGTCTGTTTTTAGTGCAACAAAAACTTCCTTCTTCTTCATGGCTCTCGAAGTTGACACCGTGTCGCCCTATAGGAAGTGCAAAATCGTTTGGTGTTACAAGTTATTACTGCCGGTGGCGTAAGTTGTCATTTATGACGGGCTACTGAATACGTTAGCGTTGGCGTTGTTGTCTGCAACAGGTCCCTTACAGTACTTGTGCATACATGCAATAGGACCTTTCACAATTTTGCGCGACAATTGATTTTGACCCCGTCCTTTCACTTATTTTTCTATTTGATTTATACATCGGAATGAAGTACCGTAGATAATAACATATACATATAGTTTACAATACATATTTGTTTTATATGTTGGAAATATACTTATAGCTAAAGATAAATTCGAAATTATCGGTCATATTATGAATAATCGAATCCCAGAAATAATAATTTTTTAACCTAAAAATTTTTCGGGAAAGCTTTGACCTGCTCCGGAACAGGGCTCGATTGGTTAGACGATCCTATGTATTACTAATCACATTTAAGTTAAAGTATTGTATTAATGCGCATTATAATTCACGATATATACAGTATATATATTATTAATTTATTTGTTATTATTTTTTTTATGATAAGTATTTTTTAAAGTTGGTTTTGTTCCTTGTGCAATTGGCGATTGCTTAATTTTATTAGAATCACGATATTAAATTTTCAAAAATAATAATTAAATAATATTATTAAAATTATGTTACAATTTTTATCTTTAAAACTAATTATAAAACTTTTATAAAATTGGTAAAATATAATTGTAATATAAATTTTTTTCCAAAGTTTTTATTTTTAAATCTAATTTCTAAAAAATTTTAATTAAATAATCTTATATAAAATTATAAAATCATAATTTTATTAATTCTCAAATTTTATAGTTTTAATTTGATAATTTTTTTGAAATTAATTATTAATAAGATCTTTTACTTTAAATTGAAATTTTATAAAATTATAAAATTATCATATCAAAATTTAAAAAAGTATTTTTGATAAATTTTTTTATGATTATTAATTAATAAATATTTTTTTTCTTATAAATAATAAAATAATTTTTAAATTATATTGTTAAATTTACAAAAAAAAAAAATCAAAAATTTAAAAAAATTTGTTTTTTTTTTAAAAAATTAATTGGTTAATTACAAATATATCCTTTTAATTACTATTGTTATTATTATTTATAATTTATAAATTATAAACAATTTATATAATATATATATGTATATATATATACTATTATTATTATATTAATAATTTATTTAATTAACTTAGTATATTTTATTGAAAATAAAAAATAAACAAAAATTAATAATATTTGTTATATAATTTTTTTAAATCAATTTTATTAAAAAATCTAAATAATTTTTTAAACTTTTAATATATCTTTCAATTTTTTTATAAAAACAAATCAAATATAAAAAAATTTTAAATCCCAAATTAAATTATAATTTATATTTATATTTATATAATTAACTATATTTTGTTTCATTAAATATTAATAAAAATATTATATATATATAAATTATATTTCTTAAAAAACTCTTTTCCATCCATCATCAAATTTTCTAATTAGGAAATACTCTTTAAAAAAGAAAAAACTTATCAAGTTCCTTTATTAAAATAATTTAAACTACAAGAAACTACCATTAACAGGTATAACCTTGCAAGCATATTAATTATATTAACCTTATCAATTCACTGATATTACAAAGAAAAAAAAAAAAAAAAAAAACTAACAACTTGTCCTTTTCCTGTAAGAGGAGAAGATAAAAACCAAACTTTCTAATTTACAGTAAAGTCTCAGGAAGCCAACATCTCTACCACCACTACAGCCAGTCATATGTTAGATTAAACACCTCTTCTAGACACTGTAAAAACTCAAGGAAGACCAGATTCCATCCAATAAATCAGACAACCTCATTACTTTCCTTGAGCTAGAAGGATGCCAAACTTCCCATTAACTATATAAAGATAAGAGAAAATCTTATCGTACATATCTTCAGATCATAAAAACCAAAACTAGCTTACTCCTCCAAAATTAATATATTACGAACATATAGTCAAAAAAGAGCAATCAATAAGTAAACAAGTAAACAACACATACTTATCAACAAAACGCGTCGACATGTCTTATTAACAAGTACACATCAGTAATATTTCATCATGTCAACAATAAAACACATCAGCATCATAACATATCAACAATAGATCACGTCAATTTCAATTACAACAATATCAGCCAGACAACCTCATACTTCATTAACAAACAAACAGTTACGTATAAATAATCACGTGTCTCAAGAGAACTGTAAACAACAACATTAATATCAAATACTTATGCGATTCAACATGAAACAAACAACCATAACTGAATAAAACCCAATCACAATATCTGACAACAACCTAAGCTCTCAGGCAACTACAAAAAATCTGAATGGCAACATACTTCTAGACATCATCCTTGTGGAAAGAACAAGATGCTATATGTTAATAATTTATTTAAATAAAAAAAAGGATATTATCCTTATAGAACTCTCCAGAACTCCAACAATTCCTCCTCTTAGTAACCATCCCTTCAAATGGCTCATCCCCACCACAAATCTCACTAGACCAGAGTCTCCAACTCTATCAATCTTCCAAATAGAATTTATAATGTCAAAGAATGACAATAGTCTCCATACATAGGTTTCGACACTCAAAGAGAAACCTATTCAGCTATTGGACGAATTCCTAGATTTCCATAACTCACTTCAAAAAATCTTTACAAAAAACAGTCAATTAAGAAACCAGGTTTTGCAAAAAGTCATAGCGAAAGGATGAAATTACTCCAAACATATTTCCTGGAATATGATCCAAATTAACAAAACCCTATTCAAAAAGCCCAAAACATTTTCCCTTACAAGAACATACCAACTGGAAAGCACCAACTACTCGGGCACAACTAATATATTCTTTTTTAGCGAAGCTTTAAAGTTGTCAAATTCTCAGATAGTATCACAAGACAACTTCCTAGCTACCAATCAAATTACACAAACAAATATTATAATTACCCAATCACATTCCAATTCATATTAAATTAACATCCAATCAAATTCCACAGACACACCTAACAATCACAAACAGCTTTCCACCAAAGAATTGTACACCTACCAATCACAAACAGCTTTCCATCAAAGAATTGTATAAGGATGAGTCATTCATATCTATAGATCTAAACTTTCCTATCCCGGAAGACATAGACATGGGAAATACCATAGGCTCATACATATACCAGAAAAAGAAAAATAACTACAACAATCTTCTACCAGACACTTCTGTTATGTCACAATTAACAACTATTCCTGGTCAACATAAACCGAGTCTTATATTTTCACGGTCCTCTTCATCCATTCTTAAAAATGCCTAACCTCTCAAACAACTACGGGAGCGAGAAAATCCAGTAAAAAGAAGTATTTACAAAGGAAAATTGGATATAGCATACAAGAGATTCTAGGCATATAAAGAAGATCTCATCTTAAAACACTCAGGAATAGAAGATTATGACATAACCATCAATATAAATAATGATGAAGATAACCTAAACATCCCTGATGATCTTATCACAGAACATTATCGTATTGTTCAATGGGCATTCAAACTCACCACAATCAGAAACAATTCAGAAGAATTTATTAAACTTCTATTAGATATCAATCAGCAACCCAAAAATGAAGTTAGACAGAAACCTCATTTAGCTATCTTTGTTAAAATAGAGGCTAGGGACAGTGACTTCTTCAACTTCAGTAAAACATTTGAACTCAAAGAGAATCATCAAAAAGAATATGAAAAACTGGAAGACAGATTCCAAAAAATTTATAGAACCAAGCACAAAGTTACAGAACTTAACAGAAAAGTCAGATCTAAGATCAAACTGCTACTAAGTATCAGTTTGTTTATTGCCTATCTAAGATATATCAATATCTTTGATCTCAATCTATACTTACTAGCACAAATTATGGAATATGGGTGCAACTATCTCTGCTGATCCAGAAGAGACAGCAAACTAAATTATTATGAAATTCTTCAAAAAAGCAAAAAAATATTTCAAGACAATCTCCTTGTACTTCCCACTCTCCAAACCTAATCCCTTCTCAAATAAAGGCCAAAATTCCTCACAGAATCTCTATTCTTGACAGAAGCACCATAGCAAGCGTTGTGAGATCCCTTCACTCCCTTTACAAATTTACTTTTCTTCCTGATTCATACTTCGTTACACTCCCAGATCTTTCAAATCATCCTCAAAACCTTCCCAAAGAAGTCTCACATCTCTTTCCAATTAGAAAAAAAAAAGATTTCAAAAACTTGAAGGACATGATTAGAGAACTCAAAAATTTCTTCATCATCTTTTCCAGAATCCCATCAACTTATTTCGATTTTCCACCTCCAAAATTTCACTCCCTCCATCTTCCAATCAGCTGGATTTAGAGTTTTCATATCTATTTTTACTTGATACATCAACAAATAGCGTTAGAGATGTTGTCAAAACACTTAGAACCAAGTATTATTTCGAACGGCTTTCCGTCAATTTCTTCAAATTCAAAAAACTTCTTCTAATCTTTCTATTAACCATTAATGAGTACTGATTCAAACTAGAAATTTAAATCCCTACCACAAACTCTTATGATACTCAGTTCTTAATCAAAATATTAAGATCTAAGTTTTGTTTCACACTTCCACTAGGTCCACTATGGGTATCTCCCGAGATTGCCCAAACGAACAAACCAAAGCTTCCAAGAAGAATAGAGGACATCAAACCAGACCTCAACATTAAAAAACTCTCTCACAGTGATACTTAACTTAAGGAAAAAATCAAAACTCTACACGAGTTCTATGAGTTTCAAAGGATTCCAGAAAACTGGTTCACTAATTCATGAGTTCCTTTACCTAAAGATTCACAAAAAATCAATAAAATCCTATCAGACAAAAGCCTTATGACTCTCAAATTTCCCCTAGTTAATAACAATGTCCTTTCAATAGTTATCTATCAACTTTATCAAACATTTCTATTCACCAAACTACCTGACTTCCTTATCATTAAAGAGATACTTCCAGAACCAGAGTTTGATCTCCTCCCCTTCTTGTGTTAAATAATATGTTTAGTAACCCTAACATGCTTAACACAGTAATCAATTATAACTT